TCTTCTCCAGGGAGTCCTTCTTCCTTCTCATCAGGTGGCCAAAGTCTTTGAGTTTCCTCTTCAGGATCTGGCCTGCTTTCCTCTTTCCTCCTTTCCTCTTTCATTTCCTTTTTTCTTTCCTTTCCTTCTTTCTTTTCCTTTCTTCTTTCCTTTCCTTCCCTTCTTTCCTTTCCTTTCCTTTCTTTTCCTTTCTTTTCCTTTTTTCCTTTCCTTCTTTCCTTTCGTTCTTTTTTCCTTGTCTTTTCCCTTTCCTTTCTCCTCTCCTCCCCTCCCTTTCCTTCTTCCTCTCTTCCTTCCCTCCACCCATTCCTACCTGCAGACATACCTATCTGCCTTACTTTTCTTTCCTTCCTTCCTCCCTTTCTCCTTTCTTGTCTTTCATTTTTTTCTTTATTTCTCTCTTTCTTTTTTCTCTCTTCCTTCCTTCCTTCCTTTCTCATTCATGTCCCCTCTTGGTAATCCAGAGGTCAGCTCCTTAATCACCCCAGAAGCTGTTGGGACAGAAATTGGAATTCTGTACTACCCTTTTTAGCAGGGCCCCTGACGTTTTTAGCATGAACGGAGGAGAGATTCTTCTCACCCACCAAGCCCCCTCCCCTCCATGTCCCACCCCTCTCTGTCTCAACCAACATCTTCTTTCCCCCCTCCCCTCTTTGAGCCAGGCCCTGGAGCTTCGCTTCCTTCCCCATTTTACAAGTGCCAGCCCTCTTTTTTTCCACCCCAGAAAAAAAATGGATTTTAAGGAGTGACACAAATGCCTCCTGATTGGCATCGCCTTCGGGCTCTGCTGCCCTCAATCTTGCCTTGTCACTTCCATTCCCTTCACATCCATCAGGTCTGGGCAGCCCCCTAACAGAGAAGGGGCCGGCAACAGAAGGGGCTCCAGAGTGACCCATTTAATGTCCAGGCTGCCAGAGAGCTGGCAATGCCCCCAGGAAAACGGAGACCGGCGTTCCCCTCATTAAAAATGGAGCAGGAATTGAACACGCCGTAGGAGGCGAATTGATGGGCATTTGACTTCGTCCCAAAGGCAGGAATTAAAATCAGAATTTCCCAAGCTCGATCGATCGATCGATCGCCTTCCGAGTGACCCTGATTGGCCAAAAGAAGGCAGCCGCATTCACGCAACACACCGTACCTGAAAAAGGAATAAAGTCCCTTTCCCTGGTCATCTGGTGCCCCCCAATATGACAATACAGGTAGAAGGAGAGAGGGCAGGAAGGGGAAGAGGAAGGGTAGGAGTAGGGGAGAGGTAAGGGAAGAAGAAAGGGGAAGGAGAGAGGAAGGAAGGAAGTAGAGAAGGGAGGGAGGGAGAAAAGAAAGGACCTGTAATAATAGAAAAAGAAAGGAAGAGAGGAGGAGAGGAAGAGGAGGAAAGGAAGATAGAGGTGAGGAGTGGAAGATGGAAGGGAGAAGGAAGGAGACATGGGAAGGAGGGAGGAAGGGAGGAGAGATGGGAAGGAGGAAGGAAGGAGAATGGGAAGGATGGAGGGAGAAATGGGAAGGAGAAAGGAAGGAAGGAGAGATGGGAAGGAGGAGGGAGGAAAGATGGAAGGAGAGATGGGAAGGAAGAAGATGGGAAGGAGGGAGGAGGAGGGAGGAAAGATGGAAGGAGAAATGGGAAGGAGAAAGGAAGGAAGGAAAGATGGGAAGGAGGGAGGAAAGATGGAAGGAGAGATGGGAAGGGGGGAGGGAGGAAGGAAGGAGAGATGGGAAGAAGGGAGGAGGAGGGAGGAAGGATGGAAGGAGAAATGGGAAGGAGAAAGGAAGGAAGGAGAGATGGGAAGGAGGGAGAGAGGAGGAAAGAAGGAAGAAGGAGAGATGGGAAGAATGGAGGAGGAGGGAGGAAG